GTGTCTAACATACCACAATTACACGTGGCTATATACACACAGCATGATTCTCCTCACATCAGCAGTACATCACTGTTTCTTCAATGCCATTACTCTCAATTTATAACCCGTGTAAGTTGCAGGAGAATCATACCTATACAAATGTTGCATTGTCTTCTGATCATTAGATTAAATGCTAAATTTGAATTTTGGAACCCTGGGAAGTATAGGCTTCAATCTAGGCAAATTACAGACACAGAACCATGTAGTTTTGTTACAGCTGTGCCAGTCTCGGGATATTACCTCACCCACTTTGTCTCTCGAGATACAGAACTATTCATTTTTCTGTGCAATTCACATAGGATGGCACTGGGGTGATTCTATGAGAAGCCCTGATGTCATGAAAAAGAATTTTTCCTTACATATTGATTCCAAAACCTGCATCCTTCCCTGTTGACAATGGAACTCATGGGAAGGGATGCGATTATAAGTAGACTGTCTTTTTGTCTTCAGGATATTGGATTTCTTTTCATTTTTGTATTATAAAGAATCCAGATCTTGGATTGTTAATGAAGCATCCTGATGAATGAATACTATTATTCTATGGCTGAAGTAAATAAATCATTCGCACAAATCAGGAATATTAACACAACGAGCAGGATAAGAATCTACTGAACGTAGGAATGTGAACAGAAGACAGAGTTATTGCTCCACAGAAGAAGAGATGTTGTGGCATTGTAACCCACAGATCATTGCAGCTTAATGTTGCATTTAACCACTACATGTTGCTGTTCTCACTCCAGACAGAATGGGAAAGTTTGAGTGAGACAACAGCAGAATTATCTTCTCCAAACCTAAAATGGTCTTGAGTCAAACAATTCACTGATCAGCTATCTTGTTTCTTATTTTTATGAAGCTAGTCAAAGTATTAAAGTCCTTAGTTGTTAAACTATATTTATTTTAAAGTTTGCCCCTCTGCCACTCTGGATACAGGTATCACATTTAAATAAAACGAACAATTTGGAAACGATCAAAAGCAACAGAAAATCTCCCATTGACTTCAATGGACATTGGATCAGGCGTTAAGTCCAAGCTATAAAATCGTCCAAAACCCAGCAAAATTGGAGGCACCCAAGATATAGGAAGATTGGCCCTCTGTTAAGTGAAAAATGTTTTGAACTCTAGTAAAACTAATTATTTGCCCTCTCCTTCCATGTTGCTTACATGTGTGACATATTGAATGCTGGCTCTTGAACAAATGCCTTTTCTCATATTGAGCATTTTATATTCATTGTCTGTGTATTAACTACCGGTAGCTTTTATTCCACAATTTGCAACTATGTCTTTCTATAATCTAGCAGTACTCTTTAAGGTATATAGACACAAGCTAAACCTTGCTTATCTGTCACCTTTTACATGCACAGAGATTGCTTCATTAAGAGGTTTGCTAGGACAGCTTACCAGACTGAGTCTTTTGTGAGTTTGGGGTTCACTTTCCCTTCTTCATCCACAAAGACATCCAGTTGTAAATTGGCATCGTTATCATGCGCAGAGGAATAATTGGTAACAATTCTTCCAGGTATTCCTATGCACCTCAAAACTGGAAAAGAAAGAGAAAGGAAATGAAAAGGACGATAAAGGGCAATATGATAATACACAGACAAGAGGAGTAGATAGGATGGGAAGATAGATTGGAGAAGATTTTAAATATATGAAAGCAGAGTGGGAGCATAGAAAGATCATCTAGGTCTTTATTCTTTCAATATTTTCCATTTGTAAAACATTCCTATGTACACGTATGCTCCCACACACACACAGTCTTTAGCACATGAGGAAAAAGTAACAGGGTTCCCCAAAACCCAAGACACAATAGAGGGTAAACACAGCAGCAATAAGCTTTGAGGTGAATGGAAGAGTGTTAGAAAGGCAACTGTTAGAAGGTTTCTTGGTTTTAAGTTTAGCTAGAATTTTCTAATGGTACATTTGTACTCAGGAGGAACCTAGAGAATACAAAGAACAACAGAAATCAACTGATTTTGAGAAAGAAAACTGAATTATTTACAAGTGTCAGGATCAGAGAGTTTAAGCAAAGCATATTATAGCATTTGTACCAATTGTTCAGTAATAATACTTTGCACTTCTGTAATCACCTTTTATTAGGCAATCTCACTTTAAAAAATGCATTAAGTCCCAGAACATCTCAATGATGCAAGTAATTATCCCTATTTTTATGAATGGGAAAACTAAGATAAAGTCAGGTAAGGATTTTGCTCAGTTGCTACGGTGCATTACGGGAGCCCCTGTGCCTATGGTACACCTGAATCTCTTTAATCTGGCAACCCTGGAAAAAGATTTTGCTGGGCGAGCCAGGGAGGGTGCTGCAGGATCTGGGCAGGGCGCTTACATTCTGCTGTGTTACCAGGGGCACACATGGTTTTAGGCTCCCTGCTGCTATGGGAGTGGTGGGGAAAAGCCCCAGGGGGAGTGGCAACACACAAAGCCACTTCCTCCTCTGTACCACAGGGGTTGCCGAATTAGGGACACTGGGGCTGTGTCTAGACTACATGGCTCCATCGATGGAGCCATGTAGATGAGGGTTGTAGGCAAAGGCAAATGAAGCCGCGATTTAAATGATCGCGGCTTCATTTAAATTTACATGGCTGCCGCGCTGAGCCGACAACCAGCTGGTCAGCTGTTTGTCTGCTCA